AAACCCTAAACCCTAAACCCTAAACCCTAAACCCTAAACCCTAAACCCTAAACCCTAAACCCTAAACCCTAAACCCCTAAGTGTTATTTTTTAGCGCCACTTACAGTCCCCTATGTAGGCTATTGTTGTTCAAGTGCACTAGACTTAAAAGAGAAAGTTGCACCATTCTACTGGTAAATGAATCTGAGAGATTGTTAGATGATAGATCAATGAAAAAAAGTGATTGATCATTTATCCAGCAATTAAGGATACTTCCAGATAACATATTATTTAAGAGATCAAGATATCCCATAGATTTGAAATTACATAGGAACTTTGGAATATTTCCAGATAACATGCTGTTTGAGAGATCAAGTGGTAACAACTATCTTAAATTGCGTTGTGACTTTGAGTTGAACCATTCATGAGGTTATTTGCAAGGAATAATCCCTCCAACATTTGCATATGACCTATATTTTTTGCAAGACGACTTGAGATACTAGCAATAAAGAGATCAACCATGTTTATTGTCTTTGCTAATTGAAGCCATTTAAGAAATCCTGTTCCAAATTGATTGCTAAAAAGATCTATTTTCTTTAACTTAAAAAGTTACTCGATGCTATATGAAACACTCCTCAATTGATTCTCAGAAAGATCCATGATCTCTAACTCATAAAGTTGCCCGATGCTATTTGGAATACTCCTCAATTGATTCTTAGAAAGATCCATGATCCATAACTTAGAAAGTTGTCCGATGCTATTTGGAATACTACTCAATTGATTCTTAGAAAGATACATTTTACGTAACTCAGAAAGTTGCCCAATACTATCTGGAATACTCCTCAATTGATTCTTAGAAAGATCCATGATCAATAACTCAGAAAGTTGCCCGATGCTATCTGGAATAGTACTCAATTGATTCTTAGAAAGATCCATGATCCATAACTTAGAAAGTTGCCCAATACTATCTGGAATACTCCTCAATTGATTTCCAGAAAGATCCATTTTGTTTAACTCAAAAAGTTGCCCGATGCTATTTGGAATACTCCTCAATTGATTTCCAGAAAGATCCATGTTGTTTAACTTAGAAAGTTGCCCGATGCTGTCTGGAATACTCCTAAGTTGATTCTTAGAAAAATCCATCCTGTCTAACTTAGAAAGTTGCCCGATACTATCTGGAATAATTCTCAGTTGATTCCCAGAAAGATCCATGCTCTTTAACTTAGAAAGTTGCCCGATGCTGTCTGGAATACTCCTCAATTGATTCCCAGAAAGATCCATGCGTTCTAACTTAGAAAGTTGACCGATGCTGTCTGGAATACTCCTCAGTTGATTCCCAAAAAGATACATGCCTTCTAACTTAGAAAGTTGCCCAATGATGTCTGGAATACTCCTCAGTTGATTCCAAAAAATATCCATGCCTTCTAACTTAGAAAGTTGCCCGATGCTATCTGGAATACTCCTCAATTGATTTCCAGAAAGATCCATGTTGTTTAACTTAGAAAGTTGCCCGATACTGTCTGGAATACTCCTCAGTTGATTCATAAAAAGATTCATGCTCTCTAACTTAGAAAGTTGCCCGATGCTGTCTGGAATACTCCTCAGTTGATTCCCAGAAAGATCCATGCTCTCTAACTTAGAAAGTTGCCCGATGCTGTCTGGAATACTCCTCAGTTGATTCCCAGAAA